ACCATGGTAGGGGTGTCGATACTTAAGAGCCATAAATTTTAAGATAGACTGATATTGTTGTAGAAAGGTTAATAATAGGTACTTTTAATTAATGTTTTAAGTATAATTGTTAGGAAATATACTAACAATTGATATTATACTTATATTTAATGAATATGGAGTAGATCGAAATCAAGCTTCCGAGTCGAGTAAAGTAAAAGGAAAAGGGCAAGTTCCGGAGTAATCATCTTTCCATTTTGGATATCTATGTAAGGCGAGCCAAGTGAGTGCATTTAATTATGTACGTACATGCTACAATAGTCATAGTTGTAGAAATTATTAATATATGTATGGTGATTACCAAATGGCACTAAGTGTGCAAAAATGTTAAGAAATTCATACTAAGTGTATGAATTTCTGTATTGGGCACTTCGTGTGCAAAAATGTTAAGAAATTCATACTAAGTATATGAATTTTTGTATTGGGCACTTCGTGTGCAAAATGTTAAGAAATTCATACTAAGTGTATGAATTTCCGTATTGGGCACTTCGTATGCAAAAGTTAAGAAATTCATACTAAGTGTATGAATTTCCGTATTAGGCACTTCGTGTGCAAAAGTTAATAAATTCATACTAAGTGATTGAATTTCCGTATTGGGCACTTTGTGTGCAAATTGTTAAGACATTCATACTAAGTGTATGAATTTCCATATGGGAAATGTGTGTATAAAGAACTACATAATAAAGAAATGGATCTTTATATTGGTAATGGGTATGCAAACCACATAGATTATAGAAATGGTTGAGAAATGATGGTATTAGCACTACAGATGTAAACCATAGAGTGTTTATTGAATTGAAAGAATCTCTTGAAATGTGAATTGTAATTAAATAAATTGACTTTAGAAATTTACTTATGATTAAGTATGCCTCACTAAGTAATGCTTAACGTGTGTTTTTTTCATGCATAGGTAGAATACCCGCTGAGTAAGGAGATCAATAGACATCCAAGCTGGAATCGCCTCGTCAGTAATAGTACGACTTACATGTCTACTTTTGATGTATTTTAGTCGGCATGTAATAGGTTTAGAGAAAGAAATGCTTTGAAAATCTTTTGAATTAAACTTCTGTAAATGGTGAAACGTTTAACCTCTCTTTTTGTTGTTTATCTTATTAAATGTATGTTTTATTTTAAGTAAATTAAAATGTTTTATAAACGAAACAAAATAGTATTGGTTTTCAAAACCGTTTAAAAAAAGATATATATATATATATATATATATATATATATATATATGATGTGACATATGTAACTCGTATACGGAAAGATATACGGGAGATGGGTGTTACAAGTTGTTAGTGTGGAACTTGTACGACGAAATATTATTATATTCATGATCTGATACTCTGTTACATACACTGGTCCCTTGCGTACAAGTCTTCCGGACGTAATGATGCTATGTCTATTTAAGTAAGGTTGAATTATTTATATTGTGGTGTATGCAAACTGGTACAAAGGTAAACTTGGGCTTTTGGTTTGCTCGTGCTTTCGAGCATGTTGTGCACTCCGATCGCCAACTCATTCTTGGCCCTTTATTACTCACCTTACATCGTCCCCTTAAATGATATTCAACCTTATTTTCAAACCATGGTCAAATTACTCTCTTGGTCCCTCCTCTTTCATGCCCAATCATTTTTAACACTTAGTAGGTTTCCTTCAAGCCCAATTCCTTCATCATTGACCAAAATAATTTAAATTGAGCTTATTGAACACCCCATGAACAATGTCTAAAACCCAAAACTACTAATCCAATTTTCGAGGTGTTATAATGACTCCAGGCATGAAGACGACTAATGTAGCAATTTCTAGAAGATCTAGCAAACAACTTCTAGAATATGATCCAGTCAGCGGTTTTAAAAGGAGGACGGGCAGATTAGCTTTATCTCAAATTTAAATTAGGAATTATATTTTGTTTTTAGGATTTAATTCAAACATTTTTTAGGATTTATCTTTATCATTTTCTAAGTCATTTTTAGGGTTTTAAAAGACTATAAATACCCCATTGGGGTAAGCTTGAAAATATATCTAAGATTTCTTGAATTACTTTGTTCTTTGTTTTCTTCATATTATAAAAGTTTTTTATTTTCTTTCGCTTCTTTACTTTTTATTTATTTTCTTTAGAAAATGCTAAATATGATTACTATTATATTTAGCTAATTTTTCTCATAAGCCAAAGGCTTAAGCGATGACTCAATTTCGATCGTAAGAATTCAAAATCACTTAATACCCTTCGGGTTACATTCTCAATTTTCTGCAAAATTGGATTGGCAATCGGCCTATCCTTTAAAAATTCAAATGCTTTCAAATCAAAAAGAGCTTGTTGGTTTGTTAGTTGTCTCGATTTAAAGTTGGGAGGAAGGATCCGCTTGTAACACATTCGACTTCCTTTGAACACGCTTGGCAATAATATGTTAAGGAAAATTGAGATCATATTCGATTCTCATTGAGGCAACATAGTCTGAGTTGGGTTTTTTCAAATCATTAAATTGAGTTGGGACTAGCAACGATGGTCGTGATTAGTCCACAAAAGGACTAAAATTCAAAGAATGATTTTGGATTGTTGGTTTATGAGAGAAAAACAAGTTACAAGGCTTGGGCTCTGTAGATTGTAACTGACATGAATCCAAAGCAAAAAAATCTTATTCAATGATTGACGAAAATTGAGGCAAAGCGAAGTCTACTGTTGCCTTTATTAAATTGATTTTCTCCTACCTTTTAGTTTTTTTATTTATTTTCCAAGTTATTTTACTTTTCTTTACTTTAAGTGAAAACTCCCATTTATTTTACTTGCTTTTTCGTCTAACACCCGAATCAAAAGCCTTTTACATCAACAGTTTCAAGTCTCTGTGGGTCGATCATTCTTTTCACTATTACTACTTTATTTTATTTCTTTTTAGATTAAGGAATTTATTTGAAAGTATTACTACGCTTGTCAGTTTATAATATCTCAACTTGATCGAATGATGAACATATCCAATTAATTGTTTTGAATTACAAGAATTAATCATGAAAAAGCATGTGAACTTGGTAGATTCTTAATTGGAATTGTCTTTTTCATAAGTGGTAGGTAATTTCATAAATAAATAAAATAGTTTCTTAAATGTAATTATGGTATAGGACATAATATTCTTCATATTAATGGGTCCCAAACCAATTAAAAATTTTCTTAATTCATACTTCAGCTATTGTATATTATCTTTATAATCTCATCTGTCAACAACCATATCCATAAATATATGATAAGTCCAAATAAAAGAACTAGAAACTCTTTTCTACGAGATTAAGCATAAATGCATGTATATGAATTATATTTTGACAAATCCATGATGTGAATAAAAGAAGACGTTATATAAAAATTATATTTTTAAACAACTATATATATTTTGACTGCAAGCATAAAGGTATGGCTGCAGTCACGAGATTTACTTTTCTTTCTTTGTTTTATGTGCCGAAGTAAAATCACGTGTTTGAGAAATTTACAGTGCTCACTGCTCAGTGCTTGAAATTAAGTAAAAAGAAACATGTCTGACCCTATAATAGACCAACACCGAGACAAGTGTAGACCGTTCAGTAATGTATATATTCATGTTTAATTTGACTTTCTCACCGTTCTTTTTTCCTTTTATTGGTCATGTTTTAAATATTTTTATTTATTTAAATAGTAAATACTCAATTATCTTGATATACTCCTTGATGTTTGAATTCATATTTTTTAAATTCTTTTAAATATTAAGATAAATTAATTTGTGCTTTATTAATCATATTTTTATTTATTTATAATTTGCAACATAAAATAAAAATCTTAATAATTAATACGGTTGTGATCATTCAATGAACCGTCATGTCTTTTCCATTTGTTCGGATAAATTACAAAATCTTACGCAACTTTGTTTTGTTCCCATGAGATTCAACCACTTGAAACTTATAATGAGGTGCTTTTTTCCTTTTTCGTATAATTATTAATATTTAATTTATTAATCAATTAATTGATATGGAATAAAATAGAGATGAGAACAACTTTTTAAATTAGATTTATTTTATATTAAAAATTGATGTAATATTTTTAATAATTATTTATTATGTATCAGATATATTTAAATTTATAATTTTTAAAATAAAATAATAATAGAATCATAAAATATAAAAGAATTATTTTACAAATAAGATTATATTATTATCATATAATATATTTAAATGAGTTTAAATTTTAATCTTTTAAATGTTAAACTTTATGAATTTATTGAGTAGTTTCAATTCAATGCTTCATTGGTAAAAGAAAACAAGAGGATATTGTTCAGTCTAGAGGATTGAAATTAAACAATTGCGTCAATAAAATATATGTGTGCAATGAATAAATAAAGAAAATTCTAAATAAATATTATTTTATAATTATTCAACACTATTAAAAAATACTTAACAATATTAAATTTTTTATTTATACAATAGTTTTTAATAAAATAGCAAGTATAATAATATTAATTAAATTAAGACGTGATGGGCGAACATTTATTATATTCTAAAACAAACAAAGAAAACAGTGAAAACGGAAAACCAATAGAATGGATTCATATGAAGAGCGGTTAACGTGACTGATGAGATCAGAAAGATTCTCTGGTCCGTGACCACCCACTCTCCCTTTTAGCATCACGTCTAACAATATTTAGTTTTTTCATTTATTTTCTTCATCGTCTTCTTTTTCAAGCTTTTACATTCTGATTTTAATGGCTAAAAGGGCTAAGAAATAGTCATTTTCATTTTCTCACTCTTTTACTTAAACTCAATTAACTAATAACTACAATATTCCAAAAACTACGTGTTCATTTCAACTTGCTTTCTCTCTCATTCGCAGTTGCTTTCTCGATGTTTAGCTTTAGCCTCCATGGACGTGGAATTCCAATCATGAAACCTTCTTTTCCCCCTATATATACCCCTTTAATCCATTCCCTTCAACCCCACACCAAAACCCGCTTTCCAGAATGGCTAAATCGTCATCATTGTTCTTATCTCTTTTTCTTTTGATTGCCGCCGCCGCTTGCTTTTCATTGGTGGAATCTCGTCCACCATTTGCATGTGATCCTCGGAATGGGTTGACGAGGAGTTTGAAATTTTGTAGGGTGAATCTGCCGCTTCATATGAGGGTTAGGGATTTGATTGGGAGGTTGACATTGGCCGAGAAGATTAGGTTGTTGGTTAACAATGCTATTGCGGTGCCGAGGCTTGGGATTCAAGGCTACGAGTGGTGGTCCGAGGCTCTTCACGGCGTCTCCAATGTCGGTCCTGGAACGAAGTTCGGTGGCGACTTCCCTGGCGCCACCAGCTTCCCTCAAGTCATCACAACTGCTGCTGCCTTCAACGAATCTCTATGGGAGCAAATCGGACGGGTAAGAATCCGGATTTATATATATATATATATGAATAATCTGTATCATTACATATAAACTAGTAACTATTCTGAATTTTCTTATATTATTAACGACGTATATACATGATTATTTCAATTTGACTATCCTAGACTTTAAAGGATAATTATATTCTCTTTACCGCTGATTACATTTAATGAGTTCACGAGTTTATATTTAATATAATATAATGATAATGATGGTCAAAATTATTGTTATTATATAAAAGTATATAAATATTAAAATGATTATTATTTTAATGATTTGACGATAATAGTCAGTGGAATATATCATCCACTAAATCCATGAGGATTGATAATATTATTGGTTAATTTTCATTTTCATTCATCTAACATAATCATTAAAAATGCAGAGAGAATCTAAGGATGTAGGGTGATATAATGTTAATGATATAATAAATATATTTTCCAATGCATCAAATTATTATTTAAATAGGTTGGTTTCGTAGCATCTAAATCAGCCTAAGCCTCGCATGTATTGCATTGGAGATACTGAACAATTGTTTACTTTTAGTCCACTTTTGTCTCTAGTGCGTACGTGTATGTGCGTGCTCGTTTGTGTAATTAGATTATATGTAGAGAGAGTGTGTATTAAAATTTGTTTATATAGAGTAAAATTTTTAAGTTTTCTATTTTTCTATTGTTAACTTAATTAACTTTAAAATAATTTATTTTAAAATTATTTCCATTTTATGTCTATCATCTTAATTATTAAACTTAATTAATTTAATTATTTAATGTATATATTAAAATTTTTACTACTGTGTCAATCTATGTTACCTTTTAAAAATGTTAAATCAGAATCTTATTATGGTATGGATAAAAATATAATTTTATTATTATTCAATTTTAAATTTTAAATTATAAAATATGAAAATAATATTTTAGAATGTTAAGGGTAGGGCCCTTTGCAGCTGCTCTCGATGTGTCCATGTTTGATAAAGGGAATATTTAGTTAATATGTCAATGGTGAATCTTTTAAAATATAAATGGCCAATGACGTGAATAAAACTATAAAAATAATTTAAAATAATAACATATATAATTTTTAAATTTTATATATTTTTAAATTGTTAGATTAATTGAATTTGAGATTAATAATAAAAAATGAAATTCATCTTTAAAGAAATAGATTATCCTCAAATTTAAAATTTTTAACCGCACCTATTAAATTTAATTAATTTAATAATTTAATATTTTGTAAAATTTATAAATTTTACACCATATAAATATATACGGGTTCTTTCTAAAAATCATAAAATTATATTAATATTATAAGCCTTACGAGAATACAATTGGCCCGTTGGTTAGTTAATTTTTTTTTTGCGAATAGGGTAAACATGTAAATAATTTGGAAAAAATAAAGTAGAAATTTATTTTAGAAATCTACGATGTTTATCGAACTCGTCATGCCGAATTGATGAATTTTAATAAATAAATATTTTTTTATTCAAACTCATTACGTCTAGATGACGAGTTTTAATAAAATATAATTTTTCATTAAATTATCACATTGGGATAAAAAGTTTAAATAAAAATATTTTTTTAAATTCGTTATTTCAACAAAATGAGTTGAAACAAAATATTAATTAAACTGATTGCCGGAAAAAAACCTAAATTTTTTAATGTTTTGGCCATAAATTTAGAGCCAAGTGTTAGAGAGTTGGGCGAAGATTGTACATGCCAATTAAGTTTGTGGCCATGTAGTACAGTTGATAAACCTCACATCACATTCATTCCATAATCTAAAAACAAAGTTCGAAACAATGAGTTTCAAACGTGTTACGTGTACAACTCTACTTACTACTTAATAACAAGTAATTGACCTTCTACAATCTACCTACCTATATATAAAATTAGATACAGAGATAAACGTAGAATTTTATGTTAAATGATGAATTTATAAGAAATAAATTTATAAAATATATTAAAAGTAAAAATATATTATTAGTAAAAATATAAAAAAATATTTAGATTACATGAGAATTTAAAATTTTTGGAAAAATTACTGCCACTATCAACTTCTGGTCCCCCATCCTTATATTATGTGTTAGAGAAATGTTTTTAAAGATGCTATCTTAACATAGTTAATGACAAACTTTTACTACATGAAATTTGCATGTAAGACCACCACCTTTAATATCCTTTTGTCCTGGCTCTGTTTTTCTAATGATGCTGACAACTCTGTCTTCATCAATGTTCAATGTTTCTAATGAAACATAAGAAATTAACCTAACAGTTGGAGATTAGCTCATTCGTAGGAATTAATAATTGAAGTCCATGATGAAAAAAAAATCATTATCTGCATAGACGAGGCTACAAAATGACAAATGTACTGATGAACTTGATTCGAATATGAATCACAGGTGGTATCGGATGAAGCTAGAGCAATGTATAATGGAGGAATGGCCGGTTTGACATACTGGAGCCCCAATGTTAACATATTCCGAGACCCGCGGTGGGGCCGAGGCCAAGAGACTCCCGGAGAAGACCCTGTTTTAGCCGGAAAATACGCGGCCAGATATGTCCGTGGCCTCCAAAGTCCGACGGGGACCCGCCTCAAAGTGGCTGCCTGCTGCAAACATTACACCGCATATGATATTGATAATTGGAATGGTGTGGACCGATACCATTTCAATGCCAGGGTAAGCAAACAAGCCAACATACCCCTCCAACTTGACAACTTGTTTTCTAGGGCAATTAATTGCTGCAGAAGATAGCCATTTTTATATTTAATTTCGGTTTAAAATAATTTACTGAACATGAGGAAAGTCCAAAAGTTATGGCCAAAACTGGCAACTTTCAATGTCCATACCTTTGTAAGAACCTTAAAAACGACTACTCAATAGCTTTGGACAGATCTTATAGATTTTATATAGAGCTTGCAGCAGGAGTTGGCTATGGAATCTGGACCATCCAGTAAGCCTAATCAGACAGTCCAGGATTAACGTGACCTCTCTTTCAAATACCCTTTTGGATAAATAGATTGAGATTTAAGGCTAATGGGTTACTTTGGGTTCAAATTAAGGCTTTTAATTGATAATAATGGATTGCAGGTTAGCAAGCAAGACCTGGCGGATACATATGACGTGCCGTTCAAGGCTTGTGTGGTGGAAGGGAAAGTTGCCAGTGTAATGTGTTCTTATAATCAAGTCAATGGGAAGCCCACTTGTGCTGACCCTGATCTACTCAAGGGTACCATCCGAGGTCAATGGGGCCTTGCTGGGTGTGTTTCTGTCACCTTAATAAATACATAGGAATTCGATATACTTTTTTGCGGGTTTGGTTTCTGATTTTTATGTTATTGGTTGGATCAATTAGGTATATTGTATCAGATTGTGATTCGGTTGGTGTAATGTATGACACTCAACATTTCACTGCTACCCCAGAAGAGTCTGCTGCAGATGCCATCAAAGCAGGTCGGTTCCGAACTTGCATACTTTGAGGCTATTGCATAATGTTGATTTAATTATCATTGTTTGACCATTTAATTCTTTGCAGGTTTGGATTTGGATTGTGGACCATTTTTGGCGATCCACACTGACATGGCGGTGAGGAGGGGCTTGATATCTGAGACTGATGTTGACATGGCTCTAGCCAACACTATTACAATCCAAATGAGGCTGGGCATGTTTGATGGCGAGCCATCAGCGCAGCCATATGGAAACTTGGGTCCGAGAGATGTTTGCACCCCGGCTCATCAACAACTTGCTCTCGAGGCTGCCAGACAAGGCATAGTTTTGTTAAAGAATTCTGGGTCTCTGCCATTGTCCACTACACGTCATCGCACCGTTGCTGTTATCGGACCCAACTCTGATGTCACTGTAACAATGATAGGAAATTATGCCGGTAACGATCCGTTTTTCTGGCAGTTCTTCATTTTAAAGCCAAGTTCATGAATCCTGATAATTCCTTTGTTTCTTTGATGCAGGAGTGGCATGTGGTTACACAAGTCCTTTGCAAGGTATTGCAAGATATGCAAGGGCCATTCATCAACCAGGCTGTTCAGACATTGCTTGTGGCACAAACAATCAGTTTGAATTAGCGGAGGCAGCATCCCGCAATGCAGATGCAACCGTACTTGTAATGGGGCTTGATCAATCTATAGAAGCAGAATTCAGGGACAGGAAAGGGCTGCTCTTGCCTGGACTCCAGCAAGAGCTCGTTTCCCGTGTGGCTCGAGCCTCTAGAGGCCCAACCGTGCTGGTCCTGATGTCAGGTGGTCCTATTGATGTCACGTTCGCTAAGAATGATCCTCGAATCAGTGCCATTATATGGGCTGGTTACCCAGGCCAAGCCGGTGGAACTGCCATTGCGGATGTTTTATTCGGAACAACCAATCCAGGTAATCTTTCATTTTCAGGACATTTTAACGTCGAATTCCCACTTTCCAAGCTAATTTTCATATATATAACAGGAGGAAAGTTGCCAATGACATGGTACCCACAAGATTATGTTGCTAAAGTCCCAATGACAAACATGGGGATGAGGCCATCAGGAGGCTACCCTGGAAGAACCTACAGATTCTACAGGGGACCTGTAGTGTTCCCCTTTGGTCATGGCTTGAGTTACACAACCTTTAGACATTCTTTAGCCATAGCTCCAACTGATCTATCCGTACTTCTTGATACCAACCTGTTTGCCACCAAAAACTACTCGTTGTCAAGTAACGCCGTAAGGGTGAAACACGCAAAATGCGATTCACCATCGTCGCTTTTTCACATTGACGTGGAAAACACCGGCAATATGGATGGAACTCACACCTTGCTCGTTTTCTCTTCACCGCCTGCCGGACAAAAATGGTCTCTAAACAAGCAATTAATAAGTTTCCGTAGAGTTCACGTCGTCGCCGGGTCTAAACAAAGGGTGAAGATCAATGTTAACCCCTGCAAACACCTTAGCGTTGTCGATGAATTCGGAATTCAAAGGATTCCAATGGGTTCACATAGTTTACACATTGGTGATCTCAAGCATTCTATTTCTCTCCAAGCAAATCTGGAGGGCATTAAGGCCTGAACTCTGAAAGAGTAAAAACATACTACAACTTAAGATAATTTTAATTAATCTTTAAGTTCACATAAGAAATCTCTCTCAAATCAAATGAGAAAAAAGAAAAAGCTCAAACAGTTTGGGAGAGTTTCACTTTCAGCTGCACTTCCAAAGGGAAGAAAGGGGTCATACTTTGTTTGGATTTTAATAATTGTAAAATATCTATTTTGTTTATGAAAACAAAATTGATTTAAACAGATTTGCTCTGTAATTTAGGGTTTGGATTATATTATTTGTAAAACTTCAGATTCAAAACTCTGAAGATTTATAGATAAATGAAATAATGATAAATTTTTCTATTATTTTACTCCATTTAAGATCTTGTTTTGAATCTTATAAATTTTCAATTCAAATAATGCAATAACAAAATTTTGCATTAATATGTACTAGAGAAGTCCTCTCGGATATCTCCGTCAAATCGACTGAGTTTGGTTCGAATTCAATTTTTTAATAAAATATGAAATAAACTATATTTTACAGATATTTAAAATTGAAACTGAATGAAAACTGTAATATTCGGTTTGATTTATTTAAAATAGTTATTTTATTTTATTTTATTTAAAGTTTTGGTTTGATTTGGAACAAACAGTTTCTCTATGAAAAATCAGAACCAAACTGAATTATATAGTCATATGTTTAAATCAAATTGAAACCAAATCGAATCGAACTATATAATTTAATTTAAATCAATTTTTTAATTTTCTCAATTTCGTTGATCGACCTTACAATCAACCATCAACGGTCAGAGCTCAAACACCATTACACCAATCCCCATACCCAAGCATCACCATAGTCATTACCTGAGTACCCAGCCCACAAACTGAAACTATATTCAATCTTCGACGTCTATGCTCTAGCTCACCCAAAATTAAGCTCCATACGCCCCCGACCTAAGAACATCCTCACCAAAGAACCAAAAATTCATAGATGTGAATCCTAAATCCAAAATTGCTCAACTTAAAAGATTGGAAAAAAGTGTTTTTAGAAAAGGAAAAGTGAAAAAAAGAAGCTTACCTTTCAATGTAATGATTAAAAAATTTGTTTAGGGGTTCAAATGGTAAAAATGTTCGCTCCAATATAGAGAACAAAATATCTTATAATCGTAATGATATGACACTATGATGTCGAGATAAATAAGAGAGAATCGAGGAGTTCTAATCTAGATCTAAGTCACTCATGATATGTACTAATAAAATCAATTTCGGATATTAGTTAAAGGCAATAAGATAAATTTTTAACAATATTTAGAAACATTTGACTGTCATCGAAGAAAACGTCTTGTGACCGATGACGATTAGGTCAATTTCTAAAGAATCAAAGAAAAATAGAGAGAGAGAGAGAGAGAAAGGAAATTGAATTTATAAAGCCTCCCAAAATTCTGTAAAAATCATTTTAGCCTTCCTCGTCGAATTCTTTCCATTTTCTAGAATTTGATTAGTTTTTGTTTTGTCAGTCGTCACAAATTAACACCAAATATCGCCGTATGTGAAAAAATAACTAAAGATGTCTTCTAAGTTCGTTTCTCATTTTAGAGTAGAATTCAAACTTATTTTTTTCCTAAAAGATTCCCAAAAGCCTAGATCTAAAGTAATGATAGATTCATAGTACTTAAAATTTAATTTTTTTCTTGTTATTGTATATTTTATTTTTTTAACTCGTCTCGAAATTTTATTTATATTCACCCATTCAAAAATTTTATATTATTAATATATGTATCTTTATTCTAAAAATTATTTCTGGATGTGACACTCATTCAAAATTAAAACATTTAAGTTCTACCCTCAAACGTGGTTAACTTAATCTTCAAATGGAGACATCACTAAATTATGTCGATCCACGACGTAGGATGAGGCTCTCTACCATTTTGATGGGCGAAATAAGATCTCAACCATAGGATCCAAAGGTATTTTCTTTTGAATTTTCTCTATTCTCTTTTTTTATAATGTTTTTCTTTTATTTCTTTTATTTTCACCCCTGCTTATACCATATACAATAGCAGAAGTCCGGATGCTACCAAAGGAGGATTGGAAATCGTTAGAAGCTATTGCAAGCGTGTCAGACGACAAGAGTAGGGTCCAATGGTTCTGATGTTGATGTGACGACTAACTAATCAAAGAAGTTAAAATTTGGATAAATTACAGGTTTAATACTTAAACTACCGGTTTTGATTTATTTTAATACGTAAACGTTCAGTTTTTTCAAAATCATACTTAAAGTTTAATTTTTATTTCATTTTGATATCCTTTCAAAATTTAACGTAAATTTTTTGAAAAAAATAAGAGTTTAAATATTAAAACGGATCAAAATTGATAGTTAAGATACTAAAGTGTTAAGTTTTTAACAACAGATATTATAATGAAACAAAAACTAAACATTAGATATAGTTCTGAAAAAATTAAAAGTTTAGATACTAAAACATACTATAACTAATAATTTAGATATTAAATGTGTAGTTTTCCTTTAATTTTTATTTTAGGTTAAAGTTAGTGGGCCAAATATGAGTTTCTAAGTTTAGTTGATTTATTCGATGGATTAATTTAAATTTTATTCGATTAACGAGTTTATTGTAATGTTTCTTTTAAGTAAATGATTTTTTAAAATTTTTATATAAGGGGGTTTTCTATGTAAGTAGACCTTTTAGTATAATCTTAATCCCAATCCCTCAAATTCGAAGTAAAGATCCGAACAAAATTTAATATTGGCATTTCACAGGTGGAAAGAGTAAAATAAAAGAAATATAATTAGAGTCAAATTCTTTGGGAAGACTTGGACTATATCATGAAAGCAACTAGGCTGCTGAAAACGTAACCTATAAGAATAATAATATAGGAATTTATGTCGTACGACAGTCTTAATAATTGGTTAAGAAAATATATTATCGAAAATATTATTATTTTTTAACATTTTCAGTAAAAAATTACTTAAATATTATTTTTTACTTAAAATATTAATGTTTTTAACATTTCCGGTAAAGTGTCTAATATTAACATTTACAGTAGAAAACAACAATATTTTAGGTAACGTTTTATCGGATATGTTAACAAACCCGGTAAAGCCTCAATAATAACATTTTAGGTAAAAATAATAATGTTTTAGGTAATTTTTTACTGAAAATATTAAAAAAATAATAATATTTCTGGTAATATATTTCTTTAACAGTATATTAGACTGCCGCACGTAAGACTTCTCCTAATACTATATATAAAGTCACTACATGATTTTCAAACTCTATAAAATTTGTTTGACTTCAATTTTATTTCATGCTATGCTTAGAATTTAACTCTAAGAAATAGTATGAATTCATTGAATAGTCTTAATAATAGATATTATCAATAAGATCGATGATTAACATAAAAGAATTCATATTTCAAGATGAATATGTTTTAATCTTAAATAATATGTCATCCGTCGTGAAAGTAAATTATTTTTTATTTGAAAAAAATTATTTTTTAAACATTGATGCCCATAATATATTTTATCAAAGTATAATATAAATGAAGACAACAATTAGAGTAGAATTTTTAAATATAAACAAATGATTTTATTTATTCTTTTTTTTTTTAAATAAGTAATATTTATTTAAAATTTTAATTAATCATTGACAACACAGACACACTCAACATATGCAATTGCTCAAACCAAAAAACTCTAACAAAAATAACTCTCATTTTAATCACTAACGTCACTTCAAAAAGAATTAAATTTTAAATTTTATTAAAACACGCGAACATGTGACATAATTTGATATTAACATATTATTCTACGAAAAATTAATATAAATATGACGAAAATAAAACAATTAACTAATGATTTAAATTACTTAAAGTTATTATTAAACTAAATTTTATAAATAAATTTTATATAAAATATATTTATTCACATTATGAGTGACAATATAATATTATGGAATTTAATTTTTTTTCTTTTTTTGAAAATAAATTATTTTTAATTTTAATTTTTATAAAATTTTTAAAGTCTTCTTCATGAATTAAATAGTATTAAATATGGATAGAGTCCAATACCTAATTGATGGTTCAAGTTTAGCATTCTGAGTTGATTTCTTTGACCTCCAACATACCCGTCCTTTTCGTCTGTAATGAATACTAGGGTAAATTATGTATTTAGTACCTAAATTATTAGTTTTAATCTATTTTAGTACCTAAACTATTAGTTTTAGTCTACTTTAGTACTTAAACTTTCAATTTTCTTAAACCATGACTAAATTTTAATTTTAATTTCATTTTAGTACTATATTCAAAATTTAACGTTAATTTTTTGGGGGGAAATTGAAATTTTAGGTACTAAAACGGACCAAAAATGATAGTTTAGGTACTAAATACAATTAGCTTTTTTACAACGGGTACTAAAATGAAACAAAAAATAAACTTTAGGTATAATTTGGAAAAAAAATTAAAAGTTTAAGTACTAAAATATATCAAAACAAAACTGGTAATTTAGATACTAAATGTGTAATCTACCATAAAACTACGAGAAAGATCTTTTATATTCTTTTTTTAACCTTAAAGTAAGGGTAGAACTAGAAATTTATTAAAGCGGAAATAAAGAAATAAAACAAGTCTAATAATATCAACTAATCAATGACCATATAATAATATTTAAGTTTCTTCAATTGAGAAGCCAATAAAACTTATTTTATTTACTTCACACGCACGCACGCACACATATACATGTATTAATAAAGATTAAGAAAAAGGCAAGGTCCAGGCTACTCATAGCATGCTTGGTATGACTCCATTACAATTGATATTGTTGTTAATCACTTCTAGTTCATTCATTCGTATTACCAGTATTAAAAGCAGATTTTCTATCCAAACCACTGCTATTTATGCTAGTCCGTCAGCTGTAGGTAGGAAATTTTATGGCATTTTTTGCGTTGTCTAGCCTCCTTTATCTTTTCACCCTGGAATCCCAGATCCTTTTTGGTGATTTTAATTCTACTTTTAGTGCAGATGATAGGAAAAGATGCTCATCCTCTACAAGGCCTAGTAAAGATTTTTAGAACCTTCTTTTCGACCATGGCCTTCGTGACTTGGGTTATAATGGCCCTGATTATACTCGGTTTAGAGGAACAACTTTTGTTTGACTTGACAGG